TACGTTCATCAATGGAAATATGAAAATTTAATAACTGCGAACAAAAGAACAATGATCGATTACCATGTGTTCGTGTACTTTAAATTTGCTGTCACCTTTTCGAAACGAAAGTAATATTGAAATTAAACAGACACCTTAAAATCTCAATGAAACGACTCAATTTTCAAGGATTTGACAAATTGCGACATTTTTGTTTTCATTTCCCGTTTTGGAAAATAGTGGGGAATTACATTTATAGTAGAAATTGTTACTTTAGGTTCCGAATACGTTCATTATTTTGCCATAGAAACTGAAGTTGATCGCGCGAAACGATCGTTAATCTACCTGCCAATAGTGTCGAACTCGATTCTACCTCAAAATGTTATGCTGCTAATGTTCCGTTCTCAATAGATCATGTCTGTACTTTGTATGTACAGGGTGTCCAATTTCAATTCAACATTTTAAATGTCTCATTTTAAAATATTTATCGTATTTATACAAAAAATCTGCTTGTTTCAAGTAAGATCTTTTGACTTTCACTTATTGACAAAACTATTAAGTGTAATTTACAATATAATTTTTGATAACTAATTATTAGATGTGTGCGAAAACTTTCCTACAATTCGGATTGGGTTCCCGAAAATGTTCTGGATTCCAGAAAGCGTTCATCAAGATTTTCGAAATGATAAAAGATAGAATGTAGAGTGAAAATAATAATCAAATAATATTTTATTATATTCCACTCTATTTATTATTATGTCTTTTTACTCAAACTTACAAACCTTTCCTTAAACCCTATTCTTTCGAGAATTTCGAACATTATCAGAAACTTAAAAGTTTCGAGAATTTGATCCCAACCAGACCAGATAATCAAGTTTCCGACATTTTCCTGTTCTTGTACACCTCTGCTAATTATGCATTCACTAAAATACTACTGAAAGGTTTAATAGCATTGTTAACCATCTGAAATGAAACAGAAGAATGAAATCTGTATCGTTGCATACTAATGAACGGTTCCACTAGAAACAAATGATTATTCACAATTCAACAAACGATGTACAATGTAACCAATATAACCGCCACTCAAATTTGCTGTGAATAATGTTCTGCTAACGCAAGCAATTCATTTCTACTAGATACGTAATTGTAATATATTATCTACGTTTCATTCGTGCAAACCGATTCGATGTTTCCATAATTACGTTTCGTTGGTCGCGCACAAAGCTAGAAACTTAATATTAAAACGACCAAAAATAGTTTTGATCGTTGGAATTAATGAACTGTTATCGAACCATTCGGTTAATGAGACTTTCTATATAAATGGCACGGCAGAAACGTATCTGCGAATCGGCTCCAGTTTTAAAGCTTACAATATTATCAGGTATAGAACTGGACAATGGCAGAACGAACACGAACTCGGATAAGGAGATAGTTGATACACAATGGCACGACAATAACAAGGAAATCGAGTTTCTACTCTTTTCGCATACGCCACGTTTCCACTGCCGTAACCTATCCTCAACTCTTCTACAGACAATTTCCAGAAATGTACTTTTCTCATATTTGCTGTGCTCTTTTCTTGAATGGCATCATAGTACTTCGAATAAATTAATAATTCAATTGAAACACTTCTTTTCATGGAATATATTTTCTATTACAGTTTGATTATTCGCAAAATCCATTATTGATTGGCTTGTAAAGCTCTTAACAAAGAAACTGCACTAAATTACACGATAATGTTAAAAGAATAAAAATTGAGAATAGTAACATGAACGGAATGTATTTCTGTTAGAAGAATGTTCACTGAAATCAGATCGAGATTAAAACAACTATTTCGTAAAATTCCCCCTAATTTAACAACAGTTTTATAACTGTTGAATGCATAACACAAAAACCAGGGCGCGATAGTTTCCTTTTTTATTATCTGGATTCCGACAAGAAGTCGTACGGAAGAAGAAAGCTTCCCAACGGTGTACCTAGCATTGTAATATACCTCACGTTCCCTACTTTTAAATGCACAGAGACGGAACAAAAAGAAAACGGTAACAAATTCTTCCTGAAAATTATAGTTACCGTGCACATTTAAAAGAAACAGTCCAAGTATCCTCAAATAACTGTTACCTACTTTTCGAATGCAAATACATCATCAATTAGACTCAAATTAGATTACGCAAAGAATTAAAATACACGAAGAATTCAAAACTGTCTCGAAGTCGCTCCAACGATAAACACCAAACAATATTACTATTCCAGAACATGAACAATGAAGGCGCAGAAAACTGTTCTCTCAGAGGAACAAAACATTTTCCACCCAATAAGTCACGTTCTCCAGAAATTTCACAGTCAGATATTCCAAACAGACGAATCGTAATTCAAAGGGAAGAGGAGAAGAAGGAAGAAAAAAAGGGGCTCTCAAACGTCAAACCGAGCGTGAGAAACGGTGTCGAACTGAATTAACATTCGGAAAGCCGTTTAATGTTCGTGGGACCGTAGGAAAACAGAAACGCGACGAAACGTAATGAGCACAGGAGGTAAGCCTAAACTATACCTACCTTGCTCCGAGCAGCGATTCCACGTTGCAAGAAACGATTTTTGGACGGCTTGTTAATCCCGGCCGACTTTTCACGCAACGCGAGAACGTCAACTATAATAATCGCGGAGGTCCCGCCGTCCGTTAGGACGATGATTCACCCTCTATTATCGGGGCGCGCGCCGTGCCGGTCGGCGAAACGAGTGCATTCATTCCGGCGATCTTGTTATTCCATCGGACCGCTCGAAATGCGATCCACCGAAAACCCGGCAATCCCGCGGCAATTACCGGCAATTATTCGAGCACCAGCCGTCCCAGCCGCGGCGGTATCCATCCAAACGTAACGTCGGCGCGGGAGGGGATTGGAGTAGCAATGAATCGCGTCGCGTTGCGTGAAAGTCGAAAATCACTCGATCGTGTGAGACACCGTGCAGAATAAGGGTAGTCGGCTGAGGGTTGGGTGAACTGATAGGTCGTCGGAGGGCAAAAGCGGTTGGAGGGGAGCGACGACGACGAGGAACTCAAAGGGTGGAAGATCGAAGATCCTTACTTTTTCCCCGTGCCCACCAAAGAACAGTGCAAAACAACGAAAAACGTGTGAGACACCCGCGTAAACAACACACTTTCTTTCATTTCCTTTTTTTTTTAATAT